GTGGTGGCTCAAGTGGTTAAGACGCTGAACTGCAGGCTGTGGAAGGTCAGTAGTTCAGCAGTTCGAGACCCGAGTTGCTGCATGATGGAGTGAGCTCCCGCCTCTAGTTCCAGCTCCTGCCAACCTAGCAGTTCGAAAGCAAGAAATTGCAAGTAGATAAATAGGTACCACTTCGGTGGGAAGGTAACAGCGTTCCATGCACCTTGGTGTTTAGTCATGCCGGCCACATGACCACAGAAACGTCTTCGGACAGCGCTGGCTCTTCGGCTTTGAAATGGAGATGAGCACCGCAACTCTAGAGTCGGACTCAACTGGCTTTCGAGCAAGGGAACCTTTACCTTTAACCACTTAGAATAGCACCTGTTTAAGTCTCTTCCCATTGAAAAGAACCAGCTTTCACAGTGCAGTTCTAAGAGTGCTTTCCTGGAAGTAAATAGAACTGAGTAGGATCCTGAGTAGACCTCCTTAGAATTGCTCCCTATATTGATGGATGAAGTTGACCCTTTAGCTTGTGACTTCTACCAGTTGCATACTAACACGTGCTGGTCAGGCAGGGCATCTAGATTTTTAAAAATTTTAACTTGGGAAACAAAACATGCTGTAATACCAATAGCTCTGGATCACCTTGTCCTTTGTCTCCCTGGCTTCTGGCCTTTGTTCCCGTTAGAAATTCATTCCCTTGAGCAATAGAGCTGAGTAGTCATATTTGAGTTAACCACACCTGTACCCTGTGCAGCTGTTTGCAAACCAGATTAAAGATGCCCTGAGAGCTAATTAAAAATCTCCTCTGTCTCATCTGTTTTGACCATAATTAAATTAATAAATTAGCTGACCACACAACCAGAGGCTTGGTCTGGATGTTAAGTCTACACTGGGGACTACTGCAGGAAACACTCCTAGTCTGGTGCTCAGATGTAAACTGGTTTCTTGTATCTCCACAAACAGTTAGTGGAGTGGTTGCGCTAGAATTGGGGACTCTTGAGTTTAAATCCTCCCTGAGCCCAGGGCTATTTTTGGGCAGGAGCGCACAGGAACGGAGTTCCGGCTGGCTCCTGAGTTGGCCACACCCAGCAGGAACTCATTAGCATAATAGGCCACACCCAACAGCAGAGACTCATTAGGGTTGGCTATATTAGGGGTGTGTGGCCTAACATGCAAAGGAGTTCCTGCTACAAAAAAAGGCCCTGGGTTTTGACAACAAACAAGGTAAACAGAATAAGAAGCAAAAGGTGGGTGTGGCTGGATGACCACCACACTTCTGGTAACATGGGGGTGTGGCCTAATGTGCTAATGAGCTGTGCTGTCAGGGGTGTGGCCTAATATGCTAATGAGCTTCTGCTGTTGGGTGTGGCCTATTATGCTAATGAGTTCCTGCTGGGCTTTTTCTACAAAAAACCCCCTGCCTGAGCCAATTAAATACCTTGGGTGACTGTGGGCAAGTATCACGCTATCCTGCCTCACAGGGTTGTGAGGATAAGATGGGGAGAGGGAGAACTGGATATGAGTGCCCTGACAGAAGGGCACAACAATAATCAATCTCTCTCTCTCTCTCTCTCACACACACACATTCTCTGTCTCACACACATTCTCTCTCACACACACATTCTCTCTCTCTCACACACACACACACACTCTCTCTTTCTCTCTCTCTCTCTCTCTCTCACACACACACACACACACAAATCAAAAAGGGTATCCTGACTTCCACAGCAGATGCCTTACCCTTACTGTGTTCTCTGGCCTAATTCCCAACATGAACTTACACTGGTGCAGTAGGACACACACACACATCAAGTAATTGCTGGTGGTGACCCTCCTCTGTGCATGTTATTCATGTCTTTGTAGTGTCGAGCGCACACTTGTTGAGAAGCAGGAATCAGAAGTAAATGCTTTATCTGACTACCTTAATAGGACACTTTTACACCATGGTATTCCAACATGTTGACTGAGCATGTGCGCACACAAGAATATGGAGACTGGCCTATGAACATAGGATTACGTACACAAGGTCAGGCTGCAGTAATGTGGGATTAGGATGCTTAAAGGATTGCCTGCTCCCATGTATTTATGGTGAACAATTAAGGTCTTCTAGACAGGGCCTTCTCTCAGTTTCCCAAACTTCTGAAAGTAAGACAGGCGCCAGAGCCAGTGTGGTATAGTGGTTAAGAGTGTTGGACTAGTATCTGGGAGGCCCGGATTTGAATCCCCACTCGTTGGGAGCTCGCTGGGTGACCTTGGGCCAGTCACAGTCCCTCAGACTCACAGGGTGGTTGTGAGGATAAAATGGAGGATGGGAGAATGATGTCAGCTGCCTTGGGTCCCCGCTATAAAGAAAGGTGGCATACAAATGAATTAAATAAAGACATCTTTGCCTGTGGCTCCCCATTTATGTACTATGAGCAGGCTTGCTTGGCGTCTAGTCTGTCCAGCTTCAGGTTCCAAGGTAACCGTTTTCTCTTGACCCATTTTCTCTTTGATGGAACTGAATTCAAAGCGGGCATGGAGTGTGTTTTTAGAACCCACTGGCTAGTACCCCTGAAACTGGCTTTTCAATGGGGGTATGATTTTCTTTTACGTTCATACTGCTTTTGTGTGTTTTATTGCTTCCCCCTTCAAGTTGTTGTCATCCAGTTTGTGGACCTGTATCACCTGTGGGCTATACATCTAAAAAATAATTGCCTGTTGGTGACTCAAGGGCTCTGTCACACTCATTGTCCAGAAGAAAACAGAGAGAGAGCTGGACACAGAGAGACCTATTCATTCATACCTGAGGTAAGATGCATCTATGTTTCCCCCACTCAGAAATGTGATTTATTTACTTTTATTTAGGCATTCATATGTCTACTTTCACGCACCTACTTCCCCCACCAAAGCAGTTTACAACATAATTCTTTCTTCCTCAATATTATCCTCACAACAACCCTGCAAGGTAGGGTTTTATTTTTTGCCATCAAGTCACCTCCAATTTACGGTGACACTGTAGGATTTCTAAGGCAAGAGATTTTTAAAGGTGGTTTGTGACTGCCTGCCTGTTTGTGAAAACTTTTATATTCCTTGGCTCTCTCCCAAATACTAACCATGGCTGACCATACTAAGCTTCCCAGGCCTGAGGAGAACAGGCTAGCTTGGGCTATCCAGGTCAGGTAGATTATGTTGTTGTTGTTGTTCAGTCACACAGTCGAGTCCGACTCTTTGCGACCCCATGGATCACATCCCGCCAGGCCCTCCTGTCTTCTGTCGTGCTCCGGAGTTTGCTTAATTTCATGTTTGTTGCCTCGACAACACTGTCTAACTATCTCATCCTTTGCCGTCCCCTTCTTCTTTGACCTTCAATCTTTCCCAGCATCAGGGTCTTCTCCAGTGAGTGCTCCCTTCTCATCTGGTGGCCAAAGTATTTGAGCTTCAGCTTCAATATCTGGCCTTCCAGGGAACAGTCAGGGTTGATTTCTTTTAGGATTGACTGATTTGATCTCCTTGCAGTCCATGGGACTCTCAAAAGTCTTCTCCAGCACCATAGTTCAAAGGAATCTATTCTTTGGCGCTCAGCCTTCCTTATAGTCCAACTCTTGCAGCCATACAGTACTACTGGGAATACCATTGCTTTGACCATACGGACTTTTGTTGGCAGGGTGATGTCTCTACTTTTTAATATGCTGTCTAGGTTTGCCATGGTTTTCCTCCCAAGGAGCAGGCGTCTGCAGTGATCTGGGATCCCAGGAACGTGAAGTCTGTCACTGCTTCCACAACACCTCTTTCTATTTGCAAAGGAGTGATGGGGCCGGATGCCATGATCTTAGTTTTTTTGATGTTGAGTTTCAAACCAACCTTTGTGCTCTCCTCTTTTACCCTGACCAAGAGGCTCTTTAGGTCTTCTTCACTTTCTGCCATTAGAGTGGTATCGTCTGCATATCTGAGGTTGTTGATGTTTTTCCCACTGAGAATAACTGGCTCAAGGTCACACAGCAACAAGCTTCCATTGCAGAATGGGGATTCTAACTCAGACCCTAGCCTAGCACTCTAATGATTAGAACAAAGTTGGAGTCCAGTGGCACCCTTAAGACCAACAAAGTTTTATTCAAAGTGTCAGCTTTTGGAATAAAAATTGGAATAAAATCTCCTCAAGGGCTACTTACAGGAAAAGAGGGAGGGGTAGCCGTTAGGAGGGGCCTTTCAGAGCCAAGATGTATATGCAGAGCTGAAACTGAATTAGGTGGCAGGAAAGATCAATGCACAGCAGCAAATTAGCACGTAAATGCAAGAGTTAACAGAAATACTTCAGAATGAAGCCAGAATCACTAGAATCTGAGTTCGAATCCCCATTCTGTCAGGAAGATGTGCAAGAATCCTGATAACTAGGAACCTACTTTCTTTGCATCAGTTCTTCTCCTAACGATTCTTGCACATCTTTTCTTGGTCTCCATCCTTGCTATATTGACTGATATTTTTTTCCAGGGCACAAATCCCACCCCAGCCTAAGAAACCCTCTCTGGACCAACTAACGCAGGACGGGATGAACTCCCAAAAGTTTTTTTTTGCA